AAACGTATATATAGTTAACACATATGAATATATATATATATATGCTATATAAGCGCACATATATATATATATATATATATATATATATATATATATATATATATATATATATATATATATATATATATATATATATATATATTCAAAATTAATATTATTATCAACTATTAATTTGCGATTGATCATTAAGTTATGTAATTTATTAGGAAATCAAGAAAAGTATTTAAAAATTTGCTATTATAACATGTTTTTAACCTTTTGAAATTGCAAAATGATCCATAAAGTGTCTAACAGATGTCATCGAGTGTCGAAACAAAACGTGTGTAAAACACAAATATGTTAAGAAATTAAAATTTTCGTAATACACAATTCACAATTCTTACCTACTATTTTGTACAAACCAATCAGAGCCTAAAAGTTACGTCACCAGATCAGTGTACAAAGAAAAAAAAAACCAATGCTCCAAATTTGACAAAGTCCCAAAGAAAAAAAAACCAATGCCCCATTTCTTAAACACATCTTGACTTTAGAGTTTTCCTCCAAGTCAACTAGAATACTGTTTCTTTTTGTTTTTTTACGAACATCCGAAGGATAAATTACGGCGACCCTTAGATAAAGTTAAATTACGAAAAAAAACTTTCATGTTTGGATAATTACAACCATTCTCCTCAACTATGAATATTCTTACACATCCACTCGTGCGGTGTCAAATTTAGTGAAATCTTCAAGATTATATGGAATGTTCTCCAGTTTGTACCCGTGTTACCCCATTCCAGCTCCACATTTTGAAGCAAGATGATCATAAAATGTGTTTTTTGATTTGTACATATCAGATTGTGGTGCATCAAAAACTGCATGTTTGCTCAAAACGAGTACAAACTAGAGAACATTCCACGGAATTTAAAAGATTTTGTTGAATCTGAAACAATAAGAATGAACATGCAAAAAGATTCATACTTGAGAGGGGTAGTTGTAATTACAAATTTTTTTGTAATTTAACAGATACGGGCTGGCCCGTAATTTACCCATAATCCAAAAGTACACCCTTATATTTTCTATTTATTGTTTTGAACAAAAGAACATAATATATATATATATATATATATATATATATATATATATATATATATATATATTTGTATCTTTCTGTATATGTATTTATATATATATATTTCTATATATATATATATATA